CTTTGCTTTTTAGACCAACACGGCTACAAGCTACAGGCAACCCCTGCTTAGCGCTCTTAATTGGTTCCTGAAAAACCAAGCGTTAAGCAAAACCAACTTTTACTTTCACTTTGCACTTTCTAAAGCCACCAAAATACTCTTCGGACTTGCCTGTGAGCATTATAATGAAGTTTGCTGAGCGCTACGTGGAATTAGGTATCGATGTAAAATGAGCGTTATAGCGAAATAGCGCTAAGCCAAACCGCGTTAAGCAGGGGTTGCCTGTATATCCTAGGACAGGCGTTCCCAAAGGTTTTATGCCGCGGCCCGGGCATTGAGAACCCCTGTCCTGGGGCAGGTAAAGTTGAACTTCAAGCAGTCGCGACGGTACAGTTTACGGCCCTCGCTTTCTGGCCCCTTCCCAAATCCACCATCTATGTTCTTGAGCCACGATGCACGCAGGCCTGGGAAGCAATTGTGCTCGAGCATTTCTGGGTATGTCTTTGGTCTCCTTACAGACAAGACCAATCGCCCAAACCAAAAGAGGCAGATACTTCAAGACAAGCCAGATCCATTTATTACTGCCCGACTCATCTTGATCAGTAAAGAGCATGACATGGAAGATGCATCCCAAAATGTTCTGTGCAAGAATGACATTTTTTTACTACCCAGCAACCACACCTGAAAAGAGATGGCAGCAGCTTGGCTCTATGCTTGGAACCGGATCTTGGCAACCTTTGCAATTATAATCCCCCCCCCCCCAATATACCTGCAACAATATCTGCAGACTTACAGTCACAGGCCTCAAAGTCACTTCCAAGGGGGGTGACAGCAAGTAAAGACAATGCAGAAGGGCGTTTGAACCGAACCCGTGCACAGACAGGACTGACCACACGCCATTCAAGTTGCATTGCTTTGGACCTGACCCAGCTGGTGCAGGACCACCGAAGACCGTAACAAGGCGATGGGCAAGGCTGCTTCCCCTGTCTAGCGCCCGAGACTTGAAATGCCCCGTTCCATTCGAAACTCTTCCATTTCAACAACCGGCGGCCGCTAGTTTATGTTTGTATTGACGGGGGTCGCCTTTGAACGAGCCAGGAGAGTCCCAGCTTGCTTACCTATCCGTGTCCCGCCGAGAGGTCCCTTTATTGTCCTGATCTAATGAAGTGCGGACTTCACCTGGACAGCCCCACAAGTGGCTCCTCTCAAATGCAATGAATACAAATACTTGACCTCATGAGCCATGGGGCAGCAATTAGTTTAAGCAGGGGGTTTGTGTAACACTTCAAAAGTCTTAATCCATGCGGTCAGCCCTGGCATGGTATTTGCCAAAACCTATTGAGTAGTCTTAATGAGTCTGCAAAGCAAGCTTTCAATACATTTTGGGTCGCTTCAGATGCTTTAAATGGCATAGTCTATATGGTATTGTGCAGCTTTAGAAAGGCCCAGGCTTTAAAAAAGTATGGCTCCCTTTCACAGGGCAGACAGAAACCATCTTTAGACCCGGGACCCTTAACGTTTTGCATATCAATACGGCTCCGGCTGAATGCAGCCACTCAGCTGAGAAATAGGATCACTATCAGCGTTTCCAGGCTTTCACAGGCACTTGGGAAACTTTAAAGCCCTTCGCGGAGAATAATTTGGTCGAATGTCATGGCTGGAAACAAAACCTAAACAAGCAGAGTGCAGTCCATCATGTGGAGCTGCCAGCAAAACTGACAACAAGCTCCAACGGCTTTGACATCCAACCCCCAGCGGGTTAGCTGATAGGGCACTTGCATTTCCTTGGGCTGCTCGCCTCGCTGGGATTTGCACGCTTTACGGGGGCCGGATCCTGCAAGGTGTGGCGCGCACCGTGCGCGTGAACTGCTGGGTACGCGGCGAGGGCTGGGGACAACCCTGGGCTTGGCGAGGGGAGGTTCAGAAAGGACGCGGGAGCAGATAGGGGAGGGAGGCAGAGGTGCCTTTGCGGCTTGTAGACAGCTGGACCAAACCAGCCAGGGAAGCTGGAGCCCTTTTTTTTTTTTTTGCTGAGGCCAAAATAGGCAAATATGCCACTGAGCTATAACTGGAGCTGGTTTCCGACGCGCTATTCAGACCAGATCTCTAGCTGGTATGAAATGGTTGGAGCGCCCCTAAAATCCCAGGGTTTGCTCTAGCCGGGGCCAGCTGACCGCCTGGCTCTTGCAGTGCCAGCCCCAACTTATCTGGCCTACCTTCAATTTTCTTACTGATGCCGTTTTTAAACACCGCGCTTCTTCCTCCGGGCAAGACACGGCTTGACAAGCTGATAGGAACCGGCACCAGACAAGGGTGACGCGACTTAAGAGCCGGGCCTGTTTCTAAAGCAGACAGAAAAGCCCAGCAAGCGCTCCCTCGGCCGCCCCGTCTATGAATAGATGGGCCGCTTGCGTTTAACTTTGACATAAAATTGATTCGCGGCATTGTGCGCGCCATTCGCTTTGGCAGTAAACAGATTAGCTGACGGGCTGAACCTGGCTAATGCGCTGAACGTCAGCCATGGGCTTAGCGGCTTTAAGCATCCGCCGTACCAAATAAATGCTGCGCTGCGGAGGATGAAGAACAAAGGGGGGCTCCGGTCAGCCGCTCGTAACAAATCAAAGCGGGGGGAGAGGGGACGCTTTGCAGACTCGTGCGGCAAGCCCGAAAAACAAACGCCACTTGCAAAACGGATCCCGACAGCGGCTGCGATACGCTGGGTGGGACAGCTCCTCAAGGGACACAGCCATGCCGTGGCCTACGTGCTGAAGGTTGCCTTGTAATAGTGGAAACAAGGCTGCTTTGCTGCGGGGTGAGAAATGGCCAGTCCATCCTGCGCCGGTCCAGCCCATCAAACCTAAAAACGCTGTCATGGAAGAAAATGGATCTGTAGCACAGCTCCAAACAGCGTAGGGCCCGGGGGCCTCGAGAACATGTAATTAGCTAATTAAAGAGACGAATGCAAGTCACTAGTAAGATATAAAAAGGTTAATGAAATGTTTTCCCCCCTCTTTAATTATAGGGAAACTTTCACCGGCCTCCCACGATGGCCCTTTGTGGCTGCAGACCTGAAAATCTGCGTCAGGCGAAAGGCTGGGTGATATTTTTTCCTAGACATCCCATGCAAAGTCATCTCTGGGCGCTGGGTCTTTTTTCCAAAAGACTTTGAATGATCTTGCTCCGAGTTACAAGGCAAATTTCAGCAAGCGTGCAATGCGCGATGTGGGACGTGTTCAGAACTACTGCTATCCATCGTTTGTCATCGGTGTTAGTATTAGTGAGGGATTCTTTTCCTCTGTTTTAAATCTGTTAAGGAAAAAAAAAAAATCTCTTTTTTGGATGCACGGTTGGGACAGCTCTGTCGTGGAGTGGCAATTCCTGCCAGTTCCCTGAACGGAAGCTCGACTCAACAGAGATCAACATGCGAGATGCAGAGTGAGCTGCAAACATGGGACCGTGGAAACCAGCAAAAAAGATCTTCTGAATCCATCAGATCTCTGGGGCCCAGGGTCTCCCTCCTGCAGCAAACTTAATTGTGCATCTGTTTTAAGCGTGCGAGCAGTCTCATTCTCTGCAAAGGAGGTTTTGCTTCAGTTATTTAAGGCTCTGATTCAACCAAGTTTTTTAAGTGGGTGTTTGCATCTCAGGGACCACACTGGGAGCAAAGTACCTGCTTAAACCTAAGCAAATGCTTAAAGCTAAGCAAACACTTAAGTCTTTTGCCTAATAAGCAAGGAAATGATTTTTCCTTCCCCCTCCCCAACTTTGCCAAAATAATATAAAATCCTACCTTTTAATGCATATATTTTTAAACAGAAGAGAACGAGGAGTAAAATCCGAGAAACATGCCATTGACTTGAATGGGGCCAAGTTTCACCCAGGCACTATTTTGCCTTGGCTGAATCACAAGCAGACCTCCCACTGACTACGGCAGCGCAGAATCGAGCCTTAAATAACAATAGTCATCTGCAAACGATTTCTGTCATTTTTGCAGGTGTGCTACATCCTGTCGGAGCAGACCCAGCAACATTTTCCAACCGCCCAACTGCTTCCAAGGACATTGGGATCGTCTCTTTTCACGGGGCTTTCACAGAATTCGAGCAAGCAGACGACGGGCTGTTCCTTTTTTTTTAAAGAAACCCTATAGCGGAAAGACAGCCGCGGGGTGCAGAGGATACACAGCCGCCCTCATAATGGGGGGAACTTACCACCGCCAAGTCTGGGTTCTCAGCACAAAAACCTGCAGGTGGACGTGACTCACAAAACAGAAAAAAATAAAAATAAAAAAAACCTCCCCAACTCTGTGAAGTCCACAGAAGAAACAACAAAACAGCATCCAAAGTAATAGATAAATAAATTTTTTAATAATCCGAGCATGAGAGTGGTCCCAAGAAAGTCACTGGCAAAAACCCCACTGACTATAACAGGAGCAGGCACAGTCTCCTGCTGTGTTATTTTGATCCTAAATCACCTTTCCCGCCCCCCCGCCCCGGTATACAGGTGCTAGATCCTCCGATGGCGGGAGCTGGCCATGCCCCATGGAAGTCCACAAACCTACATTGCCGTACAGCAGCCGAGGTCCGGTCTGCAGTTCTCTGCAGCGTCCCTTTGATGAACAGAAAGGCATCCGACAACGAACCAGCAGCCCGGGGCCTGGGGCTCTCTCCCTGCCTAGCTGAGGGGCGAGGCCGGCTGGCTGGGAAGATGACCGCTCTCCTCCGATTCGACCCAAAAGGAGGCGCAGAATTACCAGGGGGCTGCTCCATTTCCGAAGTTTATTGTGAATCTTAGTGCCTCGGTCGCTACACACATGCACACACACGTACACACACGCGCACACACTCACCCTCTGCAAACTGTCCCGGTTAATATAGCTTAGCAAGGTTTATATGGAAGAATATTTAATTTGATGGGCGGGAGGGGGCACCTGGGTTGTTGCTTTTTTTTTTTTTTTTTTATTTTTTTTTTTTTTTTTTTTT